TTCACTCTGTGCTTAAGGGCACATCCAGATAAGAAAGGTTAATAAATAAATTCCAGAATAATTAGATGCACCTTTGTTCTCCATTGGTTTTTTCTAAACTCTTTAAAAAAAAAAAAAAACTCATTTTTTCCAAGAGTAGCTTTCTGTAAAGCAGGCATAACAAAGCAAATGCATCTTGAGATTGCTAAGAGTCACCAGCATTACCTAAAGATTATTGCAAAAAAAAAAAAAAAAAAAAAGTGAATTTCAGTTATACTCTGATACTCTGAACTATGTTTGTAATCTAAGTAAATTGGGGTGTATAAATTACTGGTTGTGTTTTAGATAAACTTTGACAAGTATATTTTAAATTAAATGTGAAAATATATTTTGAAGTTCAGAATCCTCAACTGGAAAGCATCACATTTTAGAAGTATCTGTAAAATAGTGGAAAAGATGTTAAACAGCCTATGATAATGAACATACAATAAATGGCTCTATCTTACAACATGTTTGCTTAACGTGTTTTATTAGAAAGTTTGATTTGCATGTTTTATATCTTAAGTTGTCACGTGTAAGGAAGGGCAATGGGATGCTATGCAAGAAGTTACAAACAAGTCACCTTTTTAACCAGTCTCTTTTCAACCCTGTTTTTCTTCCCTGGGACTATTCTCTGCCAGTTGGGTTTTTCTTGCAGCACTGGCCCTCAGCAGAACTACAAAGCCCAGCCTTCTCAGGAGAGGGGCTAGGCTCTGCTTACCAGCTTTTCAAGTCTAAGGATCAGGCCAAGAACCTTACAATAACAGATTCAATTATTCGTTCTAGCCACATAAACTATTGTTTGATAAGAATGTTTTCCCAACCCTTTTCTAAGGGCTTCTAAACCTTACCTGGTGGCTATGGGCCTTGAATAACTGCATAAAGACTAACAGAAAATGGAGCCAGGTGCAGAGCAAGGGCTGCAGGAGTTCCCTTGATATATTCCCTGTTATATCTCACCCCAGACCTAGGTGAGGCTCAGCAGGGAAGCAGGCTGAGGGTAAAGCGCTTTGAAGCCAGTAGGTGAACTAACAATACACTAGTAACTTAAAGTACTAGTGACAGGATGTAGTAAATCTTTATTTAAAGAGTTGAATACTCACATATAAGACAGGATTAAGAGACAAAACACACGTCATTTTAGGATACTTAAGAAATGCATTCTCCTCACACAGTTTCCAATTATACCACAGTTGTGATACCCTTAGCTGCAGGTATCTCTGGGATTTGTTATTGCACTGTTCAGTGAGCTAGAACCACAACTGCCTCTTACTATTGGAAGAAGGAACCAATAATAAAGACAGACCCCATCATAAGGGCTTTCACCCGCTTAATATTTACCTTTACCCTTTATCAACATTCCTGGCCCACATGTAATTGTATTTCAAGTATATTAAATATTCCACAACCTCCAGCTAAAGAGTCAAACTATTGTACATTGCTATTTAAGTTTAAAATGGCAACCAGCTCAAAGATTTGTATTCTTCAACCAGCCTTGGATTCCAAGGCCTCTTGTATCCCTTGCAAGCCTTACAGTAGTCACATTACCACCTCTCTCTCGTTGTTCCAATGCAGTTATCCCTGTTAAGACTATGTTCTGGTTGTGGCAGCTACATCACTCTTTCTGCTGCTAGGCACCTTGGTAGAGTTTGCTGTAAGCCAGGGATGAACAAGCACCTCTTTCAGGGGCATCCGATGGAATGGGTTATGCTTCAGAAGCTTGGAAATTAAATCTCTTGCACCTTCTGTTACAAATGGAGGAAATTTGAATTCCACCTAAAAGAAAAATGACACAAAAGATATGAAACTTCTTTGGTAGCAACTAGAGAACTGAAGGACTATATAATTCCACAAAATGGCTAGGAAGAAAAAAAATTGTCTTGGGGACTATGCACCCTAAACCTATTGAGGAAAGGAAACTTTGGCATTGTCTTAAGAAGGCTCAACTTCCACGAGCACCAGAAAAGCTTGTTAGGTATACTAACAAAAAAAGGTATGCTAACTAGTCTTGTATTTGAGCTGTTCTGCAATACGGAACAGGAAAATAAAACTTGCATTTTAGTAACACCCCAACTGTTAAATATTCCCTTTAGAAGCTAGAAGAGAAACAAGGAAGAGGAACAGATTGCTTTAGGAAAGATAGCAATTCCAAAACAGGTAGAAACAAGGTGGAGCCAAGGAAGTCAAACAAGATAACTTGAGGTCTTTTACAGTCACTCTGCAGAGCGGCCAGGGACAGTACTGAGGATTGTTTTATCAGTATGTCATTAGCCTGTGCTGCAGTTCTTGTTAAATGACCATTTAAGCTTAACACAAAGAGCCACAAAATTCAGCTAGTTCTAGTAAGTGATGGCACATACCTTGGAAATAGCTCTGTAGGTTTCCTGGTAGGTGTTTGCTTCAAAAGGCGGCTTCCCTACTAGGAATTCATAGCATAGCACCCCCAAGCTCCAAATATCCACCTTTTCATCATGTGTTCTTCCCTCAATCATTTCGGGAGGCAGGTAGTCAAGTGTCCCACACAGAGTTGTTCTCCTGAAGAATGTTTCAATTTGTCATCATTTTTTCTTTATCATAATTAAGATTATTATAAGAGCCAGAGAGAAGCCAATGCTGGCAGCCACCTGTAGTTCTGCACAGTCTGCACTCTGGATGCAGCAGCACTATAATATCCAATAAGGACATACCAGGAGTAACTGCTCCTTTAAACAAGCAAAAAGTCATTGCAGCCACACTCCTACCCTCACCAACTGTGAGGGACAGGGGCTTCCTTTTTGTCAGATGCAATTCAAACTTATCCTTGAGGAATAATCACAGGCCTTAATCCTAGGGCCCAAGTTCTATACTGCAGTGGCCCTGTTTTAGGGGTTAGGGATGGGAATTCTTCCAATAACTTTACAAGTTCACATTTACCTCTGTTCCACAGCTATAGCTGTGACCAAGCTAGTGTTTTCACCACAGAAGTATTTGCATAAGGTTTGCATGCATCACGTTCTTACCTAGAAGATGGAGCGTGCACTGACCATCCAAAGTCGGCAATTTTTAATTCTCCATTTGAACCAAGCAGCAAGTTCTCTGGTTTGATGTCCCTGTGAATCACGTTCTTTGAATGACAGTAAGATAAGGCATCTGCTAGTTCTGTGATGTACTGTAGTTAAAAAGAAAACAAATTTTCAAGTACAGAGGCTTTACAAAGGAACAAATCTGTTATTCCAGATTAGTTTGCTACAGTATAGTATTATCTTGGTATTACTCCCAATTAATAGTAGCAAATACATAGCTATTGAAGCCTAAAAAGAGAGCATTCACTGAGGTGACCAAGCACTTGAAGTACTAGGCAACACAACATTCAGTTACATCAGTGCCACACACTGATTTGCCTTCCCCATTTCTCCCTAAACATATTACAATTGTATGAGTAAATCAATGTCTAGGGAATCTCAGCTTTATACAACTAACAACAGAATTTCATCCAAAGAGTTAACTCTATGCTGCAGGCTTTCCAAACACGAAGAATATATGTCCAAGAAGCTAGAACAACCTACAGTGGCAGTTCTTTGCTCATCAAACTTGGTGAACTTCTGAAGCTCTTTATAGACTTCTCCACGAGGTGCATATTCCAGAATTAGGTAGACTCTTGTAACATCATGGAAGTAGCCGTACAGCCTGAGAATGTTGGGGTGCCTGCAAGAAGGTGTGCAAATATTTTGTTCAGAGGAATATTTATGTATTTATTCTTTGTTACAGGAGATAGTACAGGATTTTTTTTAGATTCAAGCCTAGACTCCTCTGAGAAGTTGCAGAGTTATCCATATAAATGGAAGGAGGATAGCAATAAAGATTTTTTTTTTAACCTCTGGTTGTTTAATAGCAAATTAGACAAAACTAAAATTTACATCCTTGTACAGAAAGGCAACAGTCTTACCTAAGAATTTAAAAGCTTTTGTTTTTATTAAATAGCTCGTTTCAAAGGGCCATTGTATGCTACCAGAAACAAACTTATTTTACTTTTTTCCTTTGGGAAAAGTTAGACAGTGTGATTTTTTTTATTTTACTAAACTTTACCTAAGATGGGACTGTATTTCAACTTCTCTTCGTAGCTGATGTTCTACTCCAGCCTCCTCCAATTGTGTTTTAAATAGCACTTTCAGTGCAAGAATAAATTTACTCTGCTTTTCACGTGCCAGGTAAACATTTCCAAATTTTCCTTTCCCCAGAGGTCGACCAATTTCAAAGTCATCAAGAGACCACTGTCTTCTGCAAAGAGATACCACCAAATTAATCAAAAGCCACACAACATACCCAGGTGTATTGAGGCTGTTCAACAGAATACTTCATGACCCGAGCTAGATTTCATCTTTAAGAGAACTTTGCCAAGAGGACGAAATACACATTGAAAATTGAGAAGCCCAAAGCTGATCTCTTTCTTTCTAAAGCTTGCATGTAGAGATGCTAACAGCAGTCACACCTTGCTGTAAAAAATCAAGACTGCATGTACCAGATCAGAGACATTTCTGTACAGTTAACACACATGCACTCACTATTGAGTATCAGAACTATGCTTTAGAACTACCATGCTAAGTCTTGTTCATCCCTAATCAGATTCCAACCTCTTGCACATGTGAAAGCATTTTGCAGTTTTACATGTTGAGACAAGAATAGTGTTTATCAGGATTCTCTCATGAGAAGAGGCATTACTCATCAAAAGCTTTCAAGTTACAGGAAATTCCAGTTCCTGAAGATTTTTAAGTTAAAGTAAGCTTTCCAAGAGTTTCATTAAAAACATTATAGCTTTGAAGTGTTGGAACACTCTTCTCAAGAGTCACAGAGCTTGAGTAGTTAACTACAGCTAACTTGCATACTCACAGCACATAGTCCTATAAGATAGGAGAGAGCTCAATTCTCTACTAGCTAAACAACTTACTTTTTTGTCTCTTCATTCTTCTTTTTGGCAGTCTCTTCATTTTTCTGTTTAGATGTGCTTTCTGCTTCAGGATTTTTTGCTACATATAAAAAAGAGGAATGCTTATGAACCAAATCCATAGGCCCAACACAAGAATGCATGTGAAGAACAGGTGTAACAGTACAGAATGAACTTAGTTCTTAGATAGCCTCCAGCATTACTCAAAAGACAAAACTGCAAGGCAGCATAGCTGTCAAGTTATCAAAATGCAACTCCAAAAAAGCTTTTCTAAATTAAGAGAAACATTAAGAAATTCACACCATCACCCATACAGCACTCTTATGAATAAGAATCTCTTTGGTACACAAGACTAGGATGAATTAGCGTCAATGTCTTTAATTCTCAATTGACTAATAAGTATCTGGAAGTCTTTCAAGAGCAAGAAACACCCATATTGGCTCTAAACACAATCCTGGCAACAGAAGAACAGTGCAGTAACATCCAAGATCAAATACCACAATTCCATTTCTAGGTGCAGCTCAATATTCCTGTACAGGACTCACATATTAAGATCACCTTCAGAATCCTCGCACTGTTTTGCACTTCATAGAACAGCAGCATCCCAAGCATCACAACCCTTTAAACACATATAAGATCTTCATAATTACCAGATACTGGAGCCTGTTGAGGTTTTTCAGTGTTCTTGCTTGGAACCTGAGGCCTAGCAGCTGGTTGTACCAGAGTTTTTGGCCTAGGCTGCTGCACTGTCTGATTGTTCAACAGTTTTTGGTTTGTCAGTGTGGGTTTTTGTGACTGTACAGGAACTCGCTGGGGCAAGTTTGAAGGACACAGAACACGTTGTGCTTGAACTCCACTGCTCTGTAGCCGGCTCTGAGCAGAATGCTGAGGCACAGGAACACGCTTTGGGCCATCCCCAATGGAATTTAGAGTCTTTGAAAAGAAATATTATGTTTTAATTACAGAATAGCACACTGCAATCTTACAGCCCTATTCAATAGACCTTGATAGGCCTTGGAAATAGAAAGGAATGTAATTAACTACTTGGCCTAAAATTCAGTTTAAACATTGATAAGTAGCTCCTTACATTGATAACAAATCTCTAATGAGCCCTACATAAAAGTTTATACTTTTTTGCCACCCTCTAATTTATTAGTCTTCTGGCTCATTCCAATTAAAAAGTGATTTACAACTTAGTTTAAAATATATATATAATTATATATGCATATAATAGTTTTTTTTAATTCTAAAGCCTTTGCATGGAGTTTCTTAGTCTTTAAGTTAGAAGAAAGAGAAGGTATTTGTGCACCTGTATGCAAAAGTTATTCAGTTGGGGTATCTTGAACATTTTCCATATGAACATACAAGTAGCATATTGATACACAAGCTGCCTTGGGAAACACATCTGGAATAAGATGCCTACATACACTTACTGTCCAATTAAAAGCTATTACATGCAAGATACAAGGAGAATTTCTTAATTAGAAAATGATATAGATATATTATCAAGACAAGCAAGCCTCAAGAAATGCTCTCACTGAAAGAGAGACTGAAAGATAAAGTTGGGGATTGTTTCCTGTGAACAGGAAACACTGCTTCAAGGCAAGTTTCCCTTTTTGCTATTTAGAACAGTTATTAGGAGTGACCATTAAGAGATTTAGATCTATAGGACTCATATGATCAGAAGAAATGGCATAATCAACGCTGCAAGTTACCTTGGGAGCATTACTATAGCATCCAGAACGATTCTCTTTAGTATTCTTGTCCATAATGCCTGAGGAGAAGGGTACACATGGATTAGCCTACAGGCGAGGCACACTTAGCACCAACCAGCTCCACGCACAACGGCCCCTGAGGCCGGGCTCGCGCTCCCGCGCCCGTCCCCGGCTCCCAGGGGACATCTCTGTCCCTCGGCCACCAGACCGGAGCCCAGAGTAACCCAGAGGGGCCCTCTGGGAGACCCCCAGGCCCGGAGCCCATCCCTCGCCCCAGCCCCGCTCCCCTCACCGCAGCCTCAGCTCCCTCCGGCCGCCAACGCTGTTTGAATTCAAACCGC